AGGGAAGAAAAGCCACTGTGGGCATGCAGAGGCCATGAACAGGCACACAACAGAACTAGCTAGAAAAATCGATGATCTCTGTGACTAGTCACAATCATTCATGTGCCCACATGCAGTTGTGTGCCCCCACACCTCTATCCCTCAGACTACACTCAGCAGCCAGGCATAGAAATTTTTAAAATGTGATTGGTGTGTGTGTGTTTGTGTGTGTGTGTGTGTGTGTGTGTGTGTGTGTTGCACACACATGAATATATGTGTGTATACATGCATATACGTGTGCCAAGCAGCAAGGGGAGGGGAGATCCAGGTAAGAAAGTGATTGCAATTGTGCATAGCTGGGTTTGGACTAAATTGGCAAAGAGGTGACAACAGACATGGCTGATTGCACCTCCTTCACTCAATGTGGGGTTTCCAACAGGCCAAAGCTCTGTGACCATGGGTCTCCCCTTTAGGGACGCTCTGCCAATGGTGTCTGAGTCTGCAGTGCTGACCAGGAATGCCAGGCCTGGGGGATTGTTCTCCATGTGCCTTTCACCCACTGTTGGGAGCACTTGTCCTCAGCACCACTTCTGCCAGGTGCTGGTTTCGCAGACATGGCAGGTGTGGAATGCCAGATGAGCCCAGGTCACAGATCTTGAGTTGGGTGCCACTGGTCCGCTGTGCAAAGCGGGGAGAGAGGACCATGGCAGTCTCTGATACACAGTCATAGTGTCACATGTCACTTACAAGGTGAACAGGGAAGGGCTCAAGATTTAGAGTCATATCTACCTAAACAGATGCCATACTTACTAGTCATGATGGGGGAGAATGTACCTGACATTCCTTGGCACACCCACCTCCTATCTTTAATTAGGAATAGTAAATAGTACCTGCTTTAAGGGTTGTTGTGAAAATTAACAATCATCCTGAATAATAATCATCTCTGACCTTTTTCCTTTTTAGGCCATTATTAAGACCCAGAAGCCATTGTGATCACTCCCGGTGATTTGATGGATGAGTGGAAGGGAGCAGGTCGATGAGGTGGGGCTCTTAAACCTCCAACCTGCAGTCACACTGCTTGAGGCCCTCTGAGGAAGAAATCTCATTTAAAAGACTGAACTCTGCCTTCAAGGCTGACACAGAATTCTCTGAGTTCAAATTCATATTATTCAATATACTTGGATATTATTTTTCCTATTCAGTTGAATGGGGGAGGTAATTCTGCCCTCACCCTCACAGATGTTTTGTTTTTGAATATGCCTTACAACGGAGGAATATATAAGTGCCAAATAACAAATCAGGCTGGCATGCAGCCCAAACTTAGACCCTCGGTCACACAGGGTTAATATTTCCACTCGATGAATTCCTAAAACTTGGCTTTAAGGATGCTGGTATCTTCCATAGTCTTTTTCATCAGGTGGTTTTACCCCCCTTTTCCACAAGGGATAACGGTACACAAGTTAAACAGATGTAATGTAGAGATGTTTAAACAAAAGCAGGGAAGCCCTGAGGGACTGGAGTCAGGCTGCCTGCGGTACACCTGTGTGATGGATGCTGGGTGTGGGCTGGTCTTGTTAGAAAGGTCAGTGTCCCCACAAAGAAGCACCTGCCTCCTCCCTCAGGAAAAAAAACTATTGGCATTTGTTCCTATGCTGCTCAGCTACTCTGTTTCCCCGAAAATAAGACAGTGTCTTATATTAATTTTTTCTTCCAAAGTTGTGCTAGGTCTTATTTTCAGGGGATGTCTTATCTTTCCATGCGCTAGGCTTATTTTCGGAGGATGTCTTATTTTGGGGGAAACACGGTAGCTGAAAAGTGGGGACTCAGGGTCATGGGGGTTCCAAGAACCAGGGTCCTCCATAGCTGGTGCCTAGGTGACACCTACCTTGGGAGGCAGATGCCATAGATCAGATGACAGATGCAGAGAGGGCAGGGCAGAGAGATTTTGGAAGTGGCAGCAGAATGAATGCACGTAAGAACTGGAGGAAGGACTTCAGGATTGAAAGCCTAGATGCCTGAATGGATAATGATGTCACAGATTGAAAGGAACCACAGAAGATTTGGGAAGTGGGAGAGAGTGAAAAGCCAATGACTTTGGCTTTGGGACCTGCTGAGTTTGAAGTTCTCAGGTGGCCAAGAGGTAATTGGAAATAGGAACTTTGGCTCTTGGAAAGATCAGCTTTTGCGCTGAGCTGGAGAAGGAGCTTTGCCTGCAGCCGTGCTGTTAGAGGTCTGTCCTCAAATGGTTATTTGGAGAGTTTTTCCTAAGGAGCGAGCGTTCTGTGAGGTGCCTGTTGTGGCCCACCAGGAAAATGTGAAGCCAATGGCAAAAGCTTTGCTGGGTCTTTGTCTCCCCATCCTGGTTCTCTCTGTTGTCAACTTGGGTCAGCATGGAGCGATTTGGAACCATCTGCATATTCTCAGGGACAAACCATTCAACTGGCAACCTCCAAGGCTGGGTTCCCCCAACTCACAAATAACTTGGCTCATCACAGACACCTGAGAAAGAGGCCTGATGTGCAAGCAGCCCAGCATTTCCTCTTCTTGGTGAATGTTGTTGCAAAGCCCCAGGAAGGAGACAGCCTAATGCATGGCATGTGTGCTCAGCCTCCTTCCATTGCTTTATAATGTTACTTCTCCTCTTATCTGAGAAAATGTAGACACCATTCAAGAGAACAGACATTGATGGGACATCTGTAACCCTTTCCATAATAAAGATTAAAAAAAATTTAAATGAACAAATGATCTGAAGAGACATTTCTCCAAAGAAGATCTATAAACAGCCAATAAACGTAAAACGATGCTCAACAACATCATTAGTCAATGAAAGCCTCAATAAAACAACACTTCATACCCTACAGGATGGATATCATCAAAAGTTCAGATAACAACAAGGATGTGGAGAAATTGGAACCATCATCCATTGCTAGTGCAGCCACTTGGGAAAACAGCTGGAAGGTTATCAAATGCTAAACACTGAGCTATCCTGTGACCCAGAAATTCTACTCCTAGGGATACATCCAAGAGAACTGAAAGCATGTTCACACAATAACGTGTGCATGAATGTTCAGAGGATCGTTGTTCACAATAATAAAAAAGTAGAAACAAGACATCAATTGATGAATGGAGGAATACAATGTGACATATTCATTCAATGGAATATGATTCAGCAATAGAAAGGAATAAAGTCCTGATTCATGCGACAATGTGGATGAACTTCAAAACATTATGCTGAAAGAAAGAAGACACAAGACTCCATATTGTCTGATCACATTTATGTGAAATGTTCAGAATAGCCCTAATGTATAGAGATAGGAAGTTGATTCGTGATGGCCTAGGGCTAGAGAGGTGGGGGATACGGGAGTGGCTACTAATGGGTTTCAGGGAGAGGGTATGAGATGAAAATGTTCTAAAATTGAATGTAGTGATGGTTGTACAGCTCTGTGAATGAACTAAAAACCATTTAATTATACATTTTAAACTGGTGAATTGTGCAGTATGTGAATTATATCTCAGTAAAATTGCTATTTTTAAAAAGTGGGGGGGAGGGAATAAATCTGCACCAGAAAAAGAGAACATGACATTGAAATCATACCCATCAGTAATGAAAATGGCTGAGATTAGCTCTGATATGTTTGCAACTGTTAAATCAAAAAATCATTCAATGCAAATTTAAATTTACCCTACCAGCTGTGATAAAGATACACACTCCTGCCTTTTAACTTTGATTTTAGGCCCTTCAGTGTCTCCTGTGGTATCATGATGACTACGTCCAAAACTGCACTCCTGGGGTGCTCTTTAAGAACTGAATTGTTGCCCTGGTTAGTGTCATTCAGTGGCTGGAGCATCAGCTTGTGCACCAAAGGGTCACAGACTTCATTCCTGGTCAAGGGAAGGAACCTGGGTTGCAGATTTGATCCCCAACCCTCTTGGGGTACATGCCAGAGGCAACCAATCTTTCTTTCCTCTTCCTCTCTCTTTTTCTACCTCCCTCCTTCCCACCCTCATTCCCTCCCTCTCTCTGCCTCTCTTACCTTCCCTTCCCCACTCTCTAAAAATCTATGGGAAAAATCTTTGGGTGAGAATTAACAAACAAACAAAAAAAAAAAACAAACAAACAAAAAAAAGAACTAAATTCTGAATCACATGTCCTGCTCTTAGAGTTCTGTTCACATATTTTAAGAGCTGGGGCCCATGGAATGGGTGGAAGGGCTATTGTCCACTGGAAGACTGAGCCATTCACCCTAAATGTCTCTATCACTGTGTTTCAATGAAGGTTTTTGACAGAAACCTTATAAGAAGGTTCTGGCTCCACCACCTGGGCTCCGATTCTGACTTGCTTGCTGTTCTGTACTTTGCCCCCAAACCCATGACATAACCCCTCTGGCTTCACGCAATCTTTTGCAAACCAATGTCATAAGTCTGGTGGATTTCCTGAAATTGTTGCAAATATTTACTACAAGAAGCAAATCTAGTTTCCTGTAGTTACAAAATAAAACTTAAAATAGATTAATGTACAGAAAATGACCATTGTTTCTGAAATATTATGCCATGTACTCCACCACTGGGAAAAGCACTGATCTGTGGCTTTTCCTACTCCTGTTTGGGATAAATTGGTAAGTTTCAAAAGATCAAGTGGCACTTGTGATAGACAGAAATAATATACAAGCTTTAGTTATGTAGCTTCAAATAGCCACCAAAACAGAACCCAAGAGTTTGTGTTATTATAAGAGACTCAGTTTAGTTTGAGGTTTATGTCTCCCCAAAAAGGCAAAAAAGGCTTGTTTCTTTATTTCACACAAGCAGCCTATGTGAGAGCACAAACACGTGTATCATGCACACACACTGACATGCCTCACCCACTCATGCCCTATGTTTACATCTATTGGAAATGTAACTATACTATGACCTCTATTCTTGGTAATGAACCAAGACAAACTTGATTTCCTTTCTCTTGATCTCTCTACCCTTCCAGACTTTTCTAAAAAAGAAATAAAGAGAGAGACACCAGGTATACATACCTGACACAGAAGTATAAAACCACTGGTCCTGACTTTTTAGGAAAGTCGTGTTCTAAGACTCTTCGATCTAGCTGGAGCCAGTTTAAGTGTCCCCTGAGGAAAATAGAAATAAATTGATTAGAGCTTTGGATTTTATAGAAGTTTCTTGTAACAAAGGTATATGTACAGCAGAATATGCTGGATCACAGTTACATATGGACTTTGCCTCACTATGAAGTTTTCAATATTTGAAGAACCCAGAGGAGTGACTAGGGAACACGCATGCGAGGAAGATACTGTGCAACACGACACTCAGGAGGTCAGGCATTGGAGCCCTAGCTGGTCTGGCTCAGTGGATAGAGCGTCGGCTTGTGTACTGATGGATCCCGAGTTCAATTCTGGTCAGGGCACATGCTTGCATTGCGGGCTCGATCCTCAGTACAGGGCGTGCAGGAGGCAACATACCAATGATTCTCTCTCATCATTGATGTGTCTACCTCTCTTTCCCTCTCCCTTCCTCTTTGAAATCAATTTTTTTTTTTAAAGAAATTTGGGGTTGGAGACCTGCTGTCAATTTCTTAGGCTGCACTAGAATTAAAGCGTAATGTGCTCCCTCTTGACCTGAATTCTGTTTCTCCTTGCTGTGGGCTGCTTTTTCCCCAAAAGACTCAAAACACACTTTAAAAACATGTCAGCAACCTTCACAACATCTTGCTGGAAGCAGATGGATTGAAAAGCTAGTAACAGATTATTTCATAAAAAAAATTAAACTTACATCTACAAGTAGCCATTCTTCTTCTAGATGTTTACCCAAGAGAAATGAAAGCATTTGGCCATGCAAAGACTTTTACACACAGATGTTCAGAGACACATTATCTTTTTTTTAAAATAAATTTTTATTGTTCATATTATTACAAATGTTCCTCACCCCCCTCCCGCCCTCCATTGCTCTCCTCCACCAGGTTCCCATCCCACCCTCTGCCTTTTCCCCACTCCCCATTGTCCTCATCCATAGATGCACAGTTTATGTTCAGTCTCTTCCCACATCTCCCTCTCTCCTTTTCCCCAAGAATCATCAGTTCACTCCCCTCCCATACCTCTGATTCTATTATATTCACCAGTTAATATTGTTCATCAGATTTTTTTTTTTAATTTCCTTGGTTTTTAGATTTACTTGTTGATAGTTACGTATTTGTTGTTCATAATTTTTATCTTTATTTACTTTCTCTTCCGAAAGAATCCTCTTCAGCAATTCATATAATTCTGGTTTGGTGGTGATGAACTCTTTTAGCTTTTTTTTTTTTATTAGTGAAGCTCTTTATCTGGCCTTCGATTCTGAGTGATAGCTTTGCTGGGTAGATTATCTTTGGCTGTAGGTTCTTACTATTCATCACCTTGAATATTTCTTGCCACATTATCTTTTATAGCTCAAAACTTGATCGAACAATCCAAATGTTTATCAACAAGAGGAATGTATGAACAAATTATGACATAATTATGTAATGGAATACTATGCAGCAATAAAGACTACTGATATACACAGCAACATATACAAATCTCAAAATAATTATGCTAAGTAAAAGAAACCCACTAAAAAAGTACATATTCTGTAATTCCACTTAGAAGCTCTAGAAAGTGCCAATTAATCTACAATGACAGAAAGTATCGGTGGTTGACTGGGGGGAAGTGAGAGGGAAGGGTTGGGGGCGCATAAAGAAAAGTTTGGGAAAGTGATGGATTATGTTCATTATCTTGATAGAGGGTGGGTTATTGGTGCATACATGTGTCAAAACTTACCAAATTGTATACTTTAATATGTGCCATTTATTACATGTCAGTTATACCTCATTACAGCTATTTTAAACAGTAAACCACAGATACTTGATATACAAATGAAGTGACTTGTACATTTCTTTCTTCCTCTACTCCCTCCATCTCTTTCTCTCATAAATGTCAACTGACCATCGACTCTGACAAAGATTCTGGAATGGAAGCAAGGAGCAAAATAAACACGATCTCTTTTCCCCTCAAGCTTATATGCTTGTACGGAGGCACTCAACTACCATTTCCACAATTAATTACATACTAACTAATAGTTTTAGGACTATGAGTTATGAGAACATGTAAGGAACTGATTGAGTTTGGGGGTCTGAGAAGCACTCCTGATGTTTGAGTGAAATTTGAAGAATGAAAAGAGTTAACTCAGCAAAGAGGAAGGGGAGCCACTTTCCAAGCAAAGAAATGCAATAGCCCTGAGCTGTCCTGTGAGTAGGAAGGGAAAAGGCTGGAGAGAGGCAGGCAGAGCCCAGCACCTGGGGCCTTTGAAGAGTGAAGCAGAACGGTGTTACAAGTATGAACAGAAACGTCTACCCATTTTTTTCTCCTCTCCTCACCCAACCTCAGTCCAACATCCTGGAGCCCTATAATCATGGTTAGTTAGTAAACTTATGTTGAACAGACACAACTGATTGTACAAAATTCCTTCAAGTGCCCAGTGCTATGTGACTCCGAGGTTTAGAGTGCACAGACCCAAATGGAAGGCTGGCACTTATTCTGTATAGGATGAGAACTGAAAGCTGTCTGCATTGCCCTAGTACAATGTTTGCTCCATTAAATACACGCTGGCCTCCAAAAAATAAAATAAAATAAATGTTAGGAGCTTCCATCTCTATTTTAAGAACTTATTTAAACTGTATCTTTTACGCACACACAAAATAAATCTCTCTTTCACTTTAGCCCATACCTGTGGCCTAAGAATGATGTTTGGGTTTGCTTTTTCCCCCTCCTTTTGAGAATCTCCACCTGGAAATATTTTTTTTTCCTATAAACTTTTTTTTTTCTTTTCATTTTTGGTTACTCTTCTCTGAATATAGTAAGAGTGAAAAATAATAGGAAAAACATTTTTTAAGCTCTGGCTGGTGTGGCACACTGATTAGACTGTCAGGTTGCAGGTTCAATTCCCAGTCCAGGGCACATACTTGGGTTGCAGGTACAATCCTTGGCTCTGGTCAGGCCATGTGCAGGAGGCAACCAATTGATGTGTCTCTCTCACATCAATGTGTGTCTCTCTCTCTCCCTTTCATATCTTTCTCTCTCTTTTTATCCTACCCTCCTTCCTTTCCACTGTCTCTAAAGAGCAATAGAGCCAAAACCAGTTTGGCTCAGTGGATAGAGCATCAGCCTGTGGACTGAAGGGTCCCAGGTTCGATTCCAGTCAAGGACATGTACCTTGGTTGCGGGCACATCCCCATTAGGGGGTGTGCAGGAGGCAGCTGGTTGATGTTTCTCTCTCATCGATGTTTCTAACTCTCTATCCCTCTCCCTTCCTCTCTTTTTAAAATATATTTTATTGATTTTTTTTTTTACAAAGCAATAGAAAAATATATCTGCTGGTGAAGATTAACAAAACAAAAAAACAAAACAAAAAAAAAACAAAAAAGTTTTTAAATTAAAATGACTGAACTAACTTCTTCCAGAAAGTGGAATAAATTCCCAGCCAACTAGAATATAGACCTGGAATACAGACAGAAAAGGCAGGAATGCCAAATTTGTTTCGGGTAATACTGAAAATGGTGACTGCTGTGCCTTAGCTCATGTTGTTAATTGTATACTTTAATATATGCCATTTATTGCATGTCGGTTATACCTCATTGTCCCTCTGCCTAGAATGCCCTTCCTCTACTTCCTCATCTAGAGAAGTCTGACCTATCCTTCTAGAACTCTCTTTTCTGTGCCTCTTCCAAAAAGTCTTCCCTGAGGCACCCCCTCACACACACACCTCCCTGGGCCAGGACTCTCACAGCACCCATCCTAGGCATACCTCTGCTGCGACATTTCCTGCAGTCCATAGAACTTACTTTGTGTATACTTTCCCCCCAATAACCTTTTTTACATCTGAAAAATAAAGCAAAATGTACCTCATAAAGTAAAAGTGTGTTTTTGATCAACTAACAGGGGTGGGGAACCTTTTTTTCTGCCAAGGACTATTTGGCTATTTATAACATCATTCTCGGGACACACAAAATTATCAACATAAAAATTAGCCTGCTATATCTGGTCAAACATTTAATGAACTCACTCCTAATGCCTTGGCGGGGCCAGACCAAATGATTTCGCAGGCCTTATACAGCCTGAGGGCCGGACATCCCCCACCCCTGAAGTAGGTGTTAAGACAAACGTGAGTCCTAATTATTGGGGAATAAGAAGCTCCAGGCACTCCTTTCCTGCCTCTGAAAATGTCCCAAACCTCCCAGGCTCTTCTCCGTGTGTCCAGCATCCTGCACACACGCCACAAGCACGCTCTGCACAAAGACTTTGATCACACTGTTGCTCATAATTGGAACAGTCTCTCTATCCTCTTATCTGAACGCTAGCCATTGTTTGAGGCCGAACTTGGTATAGACCTTTTGTGAAGTCTGCCTTGATTGCCTAAGTCTGGGATTTCTTTCAAACTTCTCCAGAGCTCCTGGTTTGTGTTGTCTGAAAGGCATTTATAGCACAGTCATGTACCATTAGGTATTTTTAAAAATATGATCTCTCTCTGAAGATGTTGTAAGTTTTCAACATTTAAAAAAAACCAAAAAAAAAAAACCATCCCAGAACCTAGCACAAGACCTGGCAAAGAGTAGCTGCTCAAAAGCCCTTGCTCTTTGATTGGGTGAATACCTCCAAAAGCGATGGATCTGTGCCCAGACCTTAATTTATAAAGGGGATTAAGTGACCACATGCAGAGGTCAATGCCCTGGAAAGTAAAAGCAAATCTTTCTCATCGTTCCCCTAGAAATGAGAGGCACACCACGCCAGGCAAGACCATGAGGGGAAGCGCCAGGGCTGGTCCTGAGGCAGGAGAGGAGTGAGGAGGTGCAGGCAGAGCCTTTACTGGGGTTTCCATGTATGGCAAGACAAGGAGAAACCACTCAGAGTTGGCTAGTTTGAGTAACCCTGGCAGACTTAGGGGTCTAGGGCTGTCCCTGGCTCTCTGGTCCTTGGCCCTGGGTTGATTTGTGGCAGGGGAACTATTGCTTATATGTGAGAACTAGATAGAAAGAGTGGCCCCGAGTTAGGGCTCTGGACAGCAGGAGAGATGTGAGCAGCTTCCACTGTGAGTTTGGCTC